AACCAAATTTTTACTTGCTGAAACCACACAGAATTCCTGCTTACAGACAAGAATAGCTGGCAGAATGGCTCCATCATTCTCATTACAACTTATATCACCCGAATAAACACCCTCAACAAATCCACTTCAGTTTACTAAAACTACCCCAATACTCAAACTACCTCTGATCACTTCTCATATCCCAGCCATAAGACTCAACACTAGCACACCCTCTCCAATCATTAGCCATACCCCAAAATAGAGAAGATGGTAACACTAGACAAAAGCAACATAAATGATAACACTAAAAATTAACATTAATAAAATTAGAATTCAGTGATTGAATTCATCTACCTAGAGAGACCAAGCTCTCCACATATGGACCCATAGGCCAGGAACGGATAATGGGATTATGGACCCATAGGCCAGGAACGGATAATGGGATTGCCAATTTCTGCAACCTTGTTAACTGATTGATCATCGAGGTCATACAGAGCATATTCATGTCTTGAATGCCAAAAAATCAAAACTTTTCTGTTTCCAATAAAACAGACTGGAGTCATCACATCCCGGTCCAATCGATCATTTAAAGAAGCGTTGAAGTTGTCATCAGTGCTACTAACACTGAACAATTTAATCCAAGATTTGGTACGTCTCACCACATTTTCCTCCATGATCCACACATCATAGGTAACCTCGTCCGGAGACACTACCAGACAAAGAGACTCTCCTGAAAGCTCCAAGCTAATACACGCTCCGGATATGCTGGATGGTATCCAGCTTAAAGATTCCTCTTCTCTCAATCTATCTGTGCTTAAATCAAAACTTGCAATTCCACAATTAGATCGTAGTTCACGATTAATAAGCCAGTAAATGCAGCCTTTGAGATGTTTCCCGTCTGTAGCTGAACCTGATAAACCAAACGAGTAGCCTGCCTCACATGGAGCAGTTTTCCATAAACCCGTCCTCAGGCTCAAGCTCTGGATCTTATCTAGTTTCCTTGCAAATACAGGAGTTGTGGCTACTACGAGCTTGTAATCATCACTTACCGAATCGTAACCGAACCCGAATAGTTGAATACACTTCGGAGAACATTGCGGCATAGGAAATCTCCTCTGTTCCATGGTTGAAGGGTTCCAAACAACGATGCTGCTCCTGTTGGTTTCCATGGAATACAAGTGCGCAGACACAAGGCCGTTGCAGTGCCCTAAGCACCAAATATCCTCCAAAGGCTGCACCTGGAGGTGGTTGGTTTCCAGGAGTCGAAAGCGAATCCCATCAGGATTGTCGTCTAGAGTGCCGATGGCAAAGTTTGTATCTTCAAGACCTTCAACGATAAATTCCTGGGGAGTGCGTTTCGAAGTCAGGATTTTGAGATGTCTTGTGATGAATTGTTGGTTGCAAAGTAGAAAAAACCACTGCTTGGATACGCATCGGAATCGAAGTAGAGACTTGACACCGAGCCTTACAAGAATTTCCTCAATAAGATCCGTAGGGAATTGGGTTTTCTTCGCCGTATCTGAATTACAGTCAGCTCGGCAACGCAGGAGTCTTCCGTCAAC